GTCCGATACACACGACTTTAAGTCAACGAATTACCTTATACCGCCATTTGTTAGAATCTTATTGAACTAAATTGAGATATAAACTATCCTATCTTTCAAGTTGGATGAAACTGCACACAGTGTGGAAAATTTGATTAAAAATCGATTCAATAGTTCAGTAGTCCATTGCGGACAAACAACGTGACGTGACGTAATTTATATATATTAAGAAGATGAAGGTCAATATTTATTACGTATTTTTGTAATACCTTTGATATAATATTACAAGACCCATAAAAGAAGTTAGGTTACGTGGGGTTAATATTCTCTTGCATGTTCGTATAAAATACGCATTTGAAAGGATAAAAAGAGACCTTTGGAAAAAATCAATAAACCCTCTCTCTCTCTCTCTCTCTCTCTCTCTACATATATATACGTTAATGAAATTCAAAAATATGCAGGTTCTCGATGGGGATCTCGGTCAGCAGCATGAAAGGTTCGGAAAAGTCGGCTTTTCTTTTGCTCGATCTTTCATTGAAATCGTGCGTGACTCGTAAATCATCTTTAATCGCAAAAAGAATTATACGGCGTAACGGCTACGTTGCGTGACACCTTGTGCATCGCGAATAGTATAATATAGTCCATATATATATATCAACGGAACAAGTATTTACACGTGTGCGTGTGGGTGCGTACGTCCGTCCGTTCATTCATTCATTCATACATTATTTCTCGAAAGTGAGGGTCTAACTGCAATTGCATAAAGTGCAATTATCACGCGATTACTCGATTCCATACAACCGCGTGCAAATTCGTTCGTTTTAACTTTCCTTATAATAAGCGAGTTGTGAGGTGTACCTTACAGCAATAGCATGTAAAAGATGTTGATTAGACGGGAATAGGTAAATCGTTCGTGGAACTCATTTCACGATAAATATATGATTTAGGTAAAAAGCTATATATCGATTTTAATTCGATTCATTGAAGAAATTATTTATATAGATTTTGCTTGATATGTAATAATTAGGATAAATTTAAAATCGAATGTGATGTAGGACGATTCTAATAAAATATATCAAACTATTTAACATAACATTCTCTAATGCCGATGTTAATTTAAGCTAAAAGTTTGCTCGTCGTGCAAGTCTCTCTCTCTCTCTCTCTCTCTCTCTCTCTCTCTCTCTTCATCCGAATTGGTGTATGCGTAGAGCAAAGCGTCTATCACGCGTGGAATTAACGTGCCCTGTGTGTATGGCGTTATGTGCTTGTTAACTAGCTTCGCGTACAGTGCTTGGAAGGAGGAGACGGGGGGGGATGCTGGCCTAATACCTACATATGCAGTCTCTTGCATGAATATATTCATGAGAGGAAACATGGCGCCTGCTTGCCTGCCTGGCTGATATTCTCTCTCCCTCATACCCGTAACCACTCGTCCCTACCTCTTACCTATATCTATACCTATGCTATATCTATCGGTTCATCTATTTGTCTATCTCCATC